TCAAAACAGGCATGAGGCTCCCCCCTTGCTCTCTTGGTCAGTCGTCTGGGGCAGCCGGGCACCATGTTCTGAGGAAGCCCAAGCAGCCTCAGGAGACGCCCACGTGTGAGGAGCTGAGGCCTCCTGCCAGCATCCTGGGAGGGCGCCCCCTGGGGAGCAGAGCCTCTGGCCCCAGTCCAGCCTTCAGATGATGCAGCCCCAGCCCTCACCTTGACTGCAACCTCCTGAGAGATCCCGAGCCAGAGCTACCCAGCTAAGCTGTGCCCAAATTCGCGACCCACAGAAACTGAGAAATGATACAGTTTTGTTGTTTTAAGCCACAAAGTTTGGGCAATTTGAATGCAGTGATAGATACCATAGTGGCTCCAGGCTCGAATCTCAATTCTGATTCCCTAGAGCCTGTCACTGAACACCCACCTCATGCTCTATGCCAGGGAGTCTTTGGCGCCCTCAAGCTTTCTCCCTATCTGTTCCAAAGCTCAGCCAACACATCAGGTACTGACCCAGGAGGGGGTACTGGGCCAGCTCCCAGGTCTCCCCCACCCACTCCCCACCCCCGCCCATCAACGTTGGGGGCCTCAGCCCCTTTCCCTCTGGGAGATCCTGCAACATCAAACGGGGAGCTTCCACGTTTTAAGCCACAGAACTCTCTGAAATGAAAGTTTTTGGCAGATTTCTAATGGATTCAGAGAGATAAGTTATTTATAAGTATAAATTTCATAGGGTCAAATTTATCACTTTAACTAGAGTGGATCTTTCTGATGAAGATAAAAACAGACATCTGTGGTGTCAGACGAACATCTCGGGCTCGCATCTGCCTCGGCATCCAGCTGACCCCCGTGTCTGCTTTGTTTTCATTGTCTCAGGAAAATCCAAATTTACGCAGACAGGACGTTCCACGAGGGAGTGGCCAGCCTGACCTGCCATCCCAGCAGACCCTTCAGCCCAGGCGGAGGCCGTCCTGAGGTCTGCACAGACCCATGAGCCGTGAGCATGTTAACATTCAGACGGAGCTGCGCCGTCCGGTCGGCCGTGGCCACTGAGCACTTGAAACGTGCACATTGAGCTGTGAGTGCAAAACACAGACTGATTTCAAAGACTCACTATCAAGAAAAGTGTAAAACCTCTCATGAACAATTTTCATATTGATAACGTGTCAAATGAGAATATTTTAGATATATGGTTAAATAAAACATATTAAAATGAATTCCTTCATAGAGACAGAAAGTAGATGGTGGGTGCCAGGGACAGGGGGAGGGGAAGGAGGAGTGAGGGTTTAATGGGGACAGAGTTTCAGTTTGGGAAGATGAACAAGTTCCGGAGATGGATGGTGGTGACGGCTGCACAACAATGTGAATGCACTTAATGCCACTGAACTGGACACTTAAAAATGATTAAAATGGTAAGTTTTACGCTATGTATATTTTATCACAAAAAAACCCCAAATTTCTCCTGTTTCTTTTATTTTTGGAGTGGCCACTAGAACACTAAGAATTACATACGTGGTTCACATTGTATTTCTACTGTGCAGTGCTTTGCAGTGGGCAGGTTATTTTTGATCACTCAAATAGGTATTTTATTTTATTTTTATTTATTTACTTATTTATTTTGCGAGGAAGATCAGCCCTGTGCTAACATCTGCCAATCCTCTTCTTTTTTTGCAGAGGAAGATTGGCCCTGGGCTAACATCTATGCCTATCTTCCTCCACTTTATATGGGATGCCGCCACAGCATGGCTTTGACAAGCGGTGCGTCGGTGCACGCCCAGGATCTGAACCAGCGAACCCTGGGCCGCCGCAGCAGAGCGCGTGCACTTAACCGCTTGCGTCACCGGGCCGGCCCCTCAAACAGGTATTGTAAAAAGAAATTTGAATGAAGTAAGTGTTGCACTCCTAAGCTGTTGCACAGAGAAGTTCGAAGACCACCACTGACCCGCACCCCCGCCCTGTGACAACCGGGGCTCTCCACTTCCTGTCCAAGCCAGCTCTGAGCCTCGTGGACCACACGACCAGAGAGCTCGTGGCCACGTGGCCACTGGCCCCAGGTCTGTGGGAGGAGCCCAGGAAGTCTTCGGCGGCCAGCTCTCCTGTCTTTTGGGAAGCAGGTGGGGGCAGTGGGACACCAGAGGACAGCCAACCCAGCTGGGGGTCCAGGAGAGCTCCCCGGGAAAGACCACGCGCTTTGGGGCGGTGGAACCCGACCCAGCCCAACTCGGGCCCCCTGAGGCCCATCTCCACGGCCGTGCACAGTGGGCAGACCCCTTCCAGCACCGGACCCCGCCCACCCTCCCTGGAGTACACTCCTGAGAACCTCACCTCCAGCCAGACCTCAGGCTGACAGTGGCACAATGGCTGTGCTGGTGTCCAGACTGAGAACTCCCCCTCTGACCCCAACCCGTCCCTGCGTGGAGACCTGTATCCCTGGGCCACCTGTCTATCCCCAGCCTAGGGACACACTTCAGGGACAGCGCGTGCAGGGTTCTCTCCCACCCTGGACCCAGGAGCTGCTGTCCAGCCCAGCAGGAGCGTCCTTCTGCAGTTCAAGACCCCTCCCGGGTGGTTCCTTATTCCAGACCCTCCACACAGCTTTCCCGAGGAGCCCAGCTCCTGTCCAGCATGAGAGGAGAGGCTGGGCTGGCTGCCCCCCAGCTCCCGTGGGCCCTTCCCAGTGCCCCCCAAGGCCAGAGCCTGGACCCACGCTGGCCGAGGGAGACGATGTCCATGCTGGCCATGGGAGCTTTCTGAGACCCGCCAGCAGTTCCCTGAGAGGGCCTCTGAGGCCCTCGTTTTGTTCTGGGTTGAAGTCTGCCTGTTGGCCTGGCCTTGGAGCATCTCTCCTGGGAGAGGCCACAGCAGCGGTTAAGGCTCAGTCAGAACTCTCTGATCCCAAGTCTGGACACGAGATGGAACCGCGTGCACCCCCACCATTGTCCTGCTAGTCCTGGCTTAGAAACACGCCCACCAGGGCCACCAAAGTGTAGTCTCCTGAGGAGGGCAATGGGCTATTTCCTTCCACACAGCACTTGGGGCTGCCATACCCTGGGGAACAACAGTGTGCTCAGAACAATAATAACGATGTGATGGAGGTCTGAGATGGCTGAGCTCAAAAAATAGAAGAAAATCCAAGTGTCCGTCGGTAGATGAATGGATAAAGAAAATGTGGTCCCTCTAGACAATGGAATATTAGTCAGCCTTGAAAAGGAGGAGATTCTGACTCACACTACAACGTGGGTGGACCTTGAGGACAGTGGGCTAAGTGAAATAGACCAGACACAAAAGAGCAAATACTGTATGATCCCGCTTGTATGAGGCCCCTGGAGTCGTCAAACTCACAGAGATAGAAAGTAGATGGTGGGTGCCAGGGGCTGAGGAGGGAGGTGGGAGTTAGTGTTCAATGGGGACATAGTTTCAGTTTGGGAAGATGACAAAGTCCTGGAGATGGATGGTGGTGATGGTTGTACAATAATGTGAATGTACTTAATGCCCCAGAACTGGACACTTAGAATTTTATGTTATGACTATTTCACCACAATAGAAACAAAAGAGAAGAGAAAAAACCTTCTTCTATTAAAGATTTCAGACCAAAACTCCCCAGTGGGGCAGAGGTTGTTCATCGCACGTTTAATGGCACATGCAGCATTCAGAACATCGCGATAAATAGGCGGGGTTTACATGTCACAGAAACGTCCACAGGCAAAGGTGGGGCTGGCCAGGGGTCACCTGGGACTGGGCAGCCTCCCCCGGACTCGCATAGGCAGGAGCAAAATCAGGGCGGCTGCACTCGCATAGGCAGGAGCAAAATCAGGGCAGCTGCACTATCTCATCTGAATTTCAGGTCACCAGAAGCTCGTGAGGCTCTTTAGGCCCGTCCAACTCACGTCAATGTTGGATTGAGGAGATATTTAAGGGGGAGTTCAATCAACCAATGACTTAGGTCTGGGGGCCGAGGGCTGGTCTCACATATTATTTTCCTAAATCAGGAGGATCGAGGCTAGGACAACGGGCTGCATGTGTTTCCTGGGACGTGGACACGTGGTAACTGGAGGTGTGTCTGCTGGAGAATGACTCGCAGGGACTCTGGCTCTGACCTCTTTACCTTGAACACATTTCAGGAAACCCCTCCTCATCTCCCAGCTCTCCACGAAGTGGGGCAGCAGTCAGTGTGGGGGTCCCCCCTCCTGACTCAGAGAGAACAGTGATCCAGAACTCTGCTCACCGGATCTCGGAAAGTCCCTGATTCACATGGTATTTCCTTTCCATACTGGGCGTCTCGGCAGGCCAGAGTGACTGACTGCCCCTGACTGTCTGGCAAAGCAGCCAGAGTTCCCAGCCCACCCGAGGCAGACTTGCCAAGAGAGGTGAGTGCAGCCACTCGACCACGTCCACTCCTCCAAACACGCAGGCCTGGGGCCCGTGTGGGTTCCCCGCAGCCGGCACGGCCCTTGCCCCAGAGTCAGGACCCCGACTCCGGGGCCTCCCTCCTCTCCGAGGCTGACGTCACCGAGAGGTTCTCCCACCCTGACATCTTCAATGGGACCCTCTTCGGGGCAGGCAGCATTGGAGGGAGGGGCCTGGACCCTCTCTCTCTTAAGCCTCAACTTCTTGCTGAAAGCCCAAGGGTCCCTGTGGGGACCCCCTGGACATCATCACCCCACATTCAGACTCAGACATGGGGACCTGACATCACAGGGCCCCGGAGGACGGGAGCTGCCTGGCCCGACTCTGGAGAGGAGGGTGACAAGAGGGACAAGAGGAACCCTTGTCCCCCGGTCAGCTCCAGCAAGACCTGGCCAGCCCACAGGACCCAGGCCAGCTCGGACTCATACAGCCTGGCGCCTCGGCCACTGGGGACGAGCACACTCCTGTGTCCCCCTGAAGACTTGGGAGGAGTGACGGGGGTCCCCTAAGATGAGCCCTCAAGCATGGAGAGGAGGGAGGCGTGTGGGGGGCACGGCCACCCCCTCCTCGGCCTGGGGTGTGTCTTGTGTGCCCTTTGTTTCTGAAATGCAGAAGGTGACTGTTTTATTCCAAATGTGAGTCCGGAGGGAGGGGTGGCCCCTGAATGGCTGGGACGCCAGCCCCGCCCTGCAGCCTCCCCGACACGGACACGGACACCAGCATACGGGAAGCGGGGCTGCGGGCGCGGGCGGGCGCTCAGACGGTCAGAGAGATGAAGCTGTTGTAGCGCTGGATGTTCCTCTTGAGGATCTCGGAGCAGGGGCCCAACACGCGCTCGAAGCGAGGCCGGTCCAGCTTGACGCACTTGAGGGGCCCCCGGGCCACCACGGTGGCCGCCCGGGGCCGGTTCAGCAGCAGTGCGATCTCCCCTGGGGGCGAGAGAGAGGGGTCAGGGCCTGGCTCCCCTCTGGGGCTGCAGGCAGGTGGGACCCCCAGATTTAGGGGAGATAACAAAAACCCCGGGATGCTCAGTTAAGTTGGAATTCCAATAAACAAAAAAGTGTTCAGTGTAAGTACATCCCACGAAGTATTCGGGATCTCTTACACCAGAGTGTCATTCCCTGTTAACCTGAAATTCAAACCCAGTGGGGTGTTGTCCTGTGTCGTGCCCGACCCGAGGGCAGCAGGTGTGGCCCGGGTGCCCCGGGGGCGGGCGGGGGGTGGAGGTGCTGAGGGCTCCGCCGCCTCCTCAAGGTCCTGCCCTCCCGGGGGGGCAGTCCATGTCCATCGGGGTCCGTGGGGGGTGCCCAGGCCTCAGTCAAGGCTTCTACTGCAGCCACATGGAGGCTTGGCCCGCGTCCCATGGTCCCCACAGCCCTCCATCTCATGGCCCTTACCGGGACCCCCAAGGAGAAGCTGTGGCCCCAGGAGGGAGGGGACCCCACTCACCGAAGTAGTCGGAGGGCCCAAGGCGCCCCACCTCCACATACTCCTCATTCGGGGACCGGCGCTGGAGGACTGAGGCCGTGCCCTGTGGACGCCAAGGGGACACATAAGGATCGACCGGCCCAAGTCACCTAGCACAGGGGTCCCCCATGAAGAGGGCTGCCCCGAATCCCCCTCCCACTGCTCCCTTCCATGTGCCCCCCTTATAAACTGAATTCCCCGTTTTTCCTCCTCGTGGACAGAAGGGCGTGGGGTGGCTGAGTCCACCCTCCAGAGACCACGTCCCCTCCAGCCCAGCGCCACCTCCGTGGTGGGAATTCCGGGCACCCACAGGCCGGGTGGCAGCTGGGAGAATTCTGGAGGTGTTTCTGAGCCAGCGAGACACCCGGCTGACCTTGGTCAACTCTCAAGGGCTGGAGCGCATCCAGCGCACCGGACGGCGGGAGGAGCGTGGTCTCAGGGTCACACTCCCGCCGGACCCCTAACACGGGCGTCTGCAGACATCGCCAGCTCAATGATTAACACGGAGCCGCGGCAGCAAGCACGGAGCGGCCGTCACCCCTGAGAAGCTCGGCCTGTGGTGGGGCAGGAAGGACCCGGTGCCACAGAGGGTCCATGCCCAAGGCCCCTCGCCTGCCGTGTAACTGGGCCAGGCTCTCGTCGGGGGGACCCGAGACTGTGCCCGTCCATATCTGGGGATCTCTCTACACCTCCAGCCATGTGAATGATTCTTACAAACCGCCCAGTGCACACAGTCGGGGTTCAACACTGACCCCTCCACACGAGGTCACTCCCAGGGCTGAGCCCCCCATACGGCCGTCACAAAGGCCTCCCGAAGACCACTGAGCCGCCCCGACTGGTCACGAGCTCCCTCCTTCCGCCTCCTTCCAGTGCCACGTCCACTTCACGGTGAGGAGGCTGAGACCCAGAGGGCGAGGCTACTGCGGCATTGGGGTCCCCCAACCCCTGGGTACCCAGGGCGCTCAACCCCGGCGGCCAGCAGCACCCACACAGTCTCAAGGTGGGCTCGTTCACCCCAGCTCACCCAGACCAGCCTCACGTGCCGGTCTGGCCAGCCCAGTTAATGTGTAACTGCAGCCTGCCACGGTCTGGGGGACATGGGTCAGGAGACCCCGCCGGTGCCCGCCGTGCTGGAACCTCAGTCACCAATGGGCAGCCCACCCCGAATGGATCTCCCGACACTGGCCCCCACCCCAGCTCCTGGTGTCTGGGGTGTTTATGAAGCCAGCTGATGGATGGAGCATGCCGTCTAAACAGCCAGCCGTCTAAACAACTGGCCGTCTCCACCCTCCCTCGGCTGGGCGCCCACAGGCTCGGGGCTTTGGGCGTACGTGGTCCCTCCCTGAGCCCAGAGAGAGACATGGAGCCCCAGGCCCCCACATGCCAGAACAGCCTCAGTGTCCCCCCACCCAGGGCTGGCGCCGGCTCAGGCCACGTCCTAGGCTCCACAGCCCACGCTGGGGGACGGCTGAGGGGAAACACGGGCTCTGAAGTTGCCCAGCAGCGAGACTCGGGGAATCATTCAACTTCTCGGGAGCTGCCACTGCTGAGAGAGAGCAGTCGGCTCAGGGTCGGGAGCAGACGGCCCCAGTCAATGAGAACCGCCAAGACGGGCAACACATCCTGATACCCTGTTGTGTTGACCTAATTCTCCTTATGTTTACGCCTTTTTATTTAGGATGCATATAATTTATGTGCCTTTCATTCTCATTTTAGACGACTTTCCACTTGACAATTGGGATTGTTTTCCTCTTCAGAAGCCCAGGTGTGGAAATGAAGGTCCCTCATTTACAGAATTACCCGGGGAAACTCCAGGCTTAAAGCACCTGTTCAGATGCTTTGAACCCCAAACAACAGAAAACCCAACTTGAGGTGGCTGAGGGCTACTAAAAGTCATCTATTATCCCACAGAACCAGAGACTGGCAGGAGGGCTTCAGGGCTGGCTGATTCAGCGGCTCAGAAACATGTCAGGAATCCAGGTTTGTTCTCGCCTCCTGCTCTCGTGGACTCAGTGGGGTTTCTGCTCCTCAATCAGGTCCCTCTTGGTGGCACAGTGGCTGCCATGGTTCCTGGAGTCACCATGCCTCCCCCACACAATCAGCAGGAAAAAAGAACCCATTTCTTCCTCCTGCAAATCTCTCCTCATCAGCAGAAAAACCTTCTGGAAACTCCTGGCCTCCTTCTCTCACACTTCACTGGCCAGAGCAGGTCACGTACTCACCCTGAACCACCACTGGGGAAGGATGGGGATCAGCGTGATCGGCTCCCACTCGGGGGATGGGGCTGAGGATTGGGGCTCTGTTGCAGGAGGAGCAGGGATGGGTTCGAGGTGGGCCACCACGGTCAACTGTGCTGACCGTCCACCTGAGGCATCACCATCCTGTCTCATCTGTCATCCTCCGAGAGGCAAGGACACCTCTCCCACTCTGTCATTCTGGAATCAACACTGAACCACAGCTGTACTGGCAGCATTTCTCCTAGGCCAGCGGCCCGTCTTACATGGACGGCATGCTGGACGAGATGAAATACAAGGTGACCACCGAGGAGGATGGAACGTTCTCACCTCTCACACATCTGAGATGGAGGGTGTCTGGTCCCCTGCACACACGGTGCCAGGACAGACCCTCCTGAACCATGAGGATGAAAGCACGTCAGGGGCCCAGTTGGGCACTTGACACACGGGGAGGACACAGATGCTGCCAGCCAGCCGTCTACCTAGTCCAAGCTCCTCCCTTTGCAGTGGGCATCGCAGGGCCACCTTGCTGGGGGTCACGTGACCACACTCTCTCTGACAGGAGGGGGGACTGGGCCACTCCTTGGTGCTCCTTCAGCCGTATGACCTCTGCCACAGGCGCCATGGGGCCGTGGGAAGCAGCCGCTCACCCCTTGGAATCCCCACAGTCATAGCTTCACAAGAAGGGCAGACACTTCTTCATCTTCAGCCGCGTTGCTTCAGGGTCTGTGTCATGGCAGCCCAGGCCGTCCCCTAATGATACACCCCCCAGTAAAATGTGGCAGCCCCTGTCCTGTGGCCGCTCTGTCCACTGAACACGAGAAGCCAAGCCTGAGAGTGGGATCGAGGGACGGCAGAGGAGGGAGAGAATGGGGCAGGTGGACCAGACTGGCGTGGGCCTCCACCCGGCACAGCTGAGCGTTCCCATGGCACCACAACAGGCGTGACCACGGCCACCGTCTTCCAGGACCACGAAACCATCGATTGTCCTGCAAACGACCCTCCCGTCCGAGTTCATTTCCCAGGCCACTGTGAGGGCAGCACAGACGTCCTCAGGGAGCGTAGGTCGGAATTTGGGGGCTGGAAAAACACACTTGCCAAAACTCTCCATCGTATTCCCCAAACGTCTCACTGCTTCTCACCCAACTCTAAAAATAAGTCAGGTCCCAAAGAAAACAGCCAGTGAGGACGCACAGGAAAATGCTGCCGCCGGTGACCCTGAGGGGAGGGGTATAAATGACCCGTTTTCATTTCCACAGTTTCAATTTTTAAAAATTTTCTGCAAAATCAATAACAAAATCAACTTTTTGGTTTGTGACAATGGGTGAATGTGACTTTTTTTGTGTGTGTGAGGAAGATCAGCCCTGAGCTAACATCCATACCAATCCTCCTCTTTTTGCTGAGGAAGATTGGCTCTAAGCTAACACCCGTGCCCATCTTCCTCTATTTTATATATGGGGCGCCGCCACAGCACAGCTTGACAAGCAGCGTGTAGGTCCACATCCAGGATCCGAACCCACAAACCCCAGGCTGCCAAAGCAGAGCGTGCACACTTAACGGCTACGCCACTGGGCCGGCCCCTGAATATGACTTTTATAAGAAAGAGAACCAGTCAAGGTCGGGGTGGAGAACTTTTGTTGGGGGGGCCCTGGGCTCCCCGTTCCCTGGAGCAGACCCCCAGCCTGGCATCAAGCCCCAAAGCTTTGGGCTTGGAGGCCCCCTGACTGAGTCAGTCTGATGACAGAGCCGGGAGAGATGGGAAGATGAGGTTCCCGCTGCAAGGCCGGCACACGGGATAAGACAGCACCCGGCACAGGGGTGGCCTGGCCGCAGGCCTGTCCTCCAGGGGCTCTCACCATTCACCTCACCAAGAACTCTGAGTACATCTCCTTTCATTTATTCTTTCAGGCATAGCTTCATTCATTCACCCGGGGCACGCCTTCATTCATTCACCCAGTATTTGTTGAGCAACCAGGAGCCTAGCTGTGCTCCAGGGTGCAGACCACAGCAGAGACCAGGACAGACACAGCCGCCCTTGTGGGATCAGCTCCCTGGTGGGACAACAGACGTGATCACAACAGAGCTGTGGGCCTGGCAGAGCCAAGGGACAGCGCCTGGTGGAAGAGGACCCCCGCCTCTCCGGGCCTGTCGTCCGTGCCCGTGGTGGAACATCACTCAAGGAGGGAAGGAGGGAACCTACGCCAGGGCCTGCTGTGGGTGGAGGGGGCCGGACAAGGAGCACACACTCCTCGGTCCCATGTGTATGAAGTTCCAGAAGAAAAAAACCATTTTATTTAAATGAAAATAGTTTAAAAAAAAACACTATCCCAGCCATAAATGGAAACTGGTATCACTTCCCATAAATTAAAACGCAACTAAAAAGATGAGCACCTCAGGGCAGGAGCCAGAAAGGGCTGAAGATGCACCAGCCTCGCCCGCGGCGTTCCCCAGACAGGGCCAGGAGACGGGACCGAGACCGAGGAGAAGCCTGTCCCAAGCATCGAGCGGCACGTCGCCCCTGTCTCCTGACTTGAGATCAACCTGTGGACCGAGCACTAGGAGCCTGGGCCCAAACTAGGCTCTTCGATGCGCTGCCCATGTCTCGGGAAGGCCCTTCACCGTGTGAGCCTTGCCCTTCCCCTCTGCAGGATGGGGGCAACACTGTCACCCTGGCAGCACCGGGGCGAGGTCAGAGGATCTGGGCTTCGGAAATGGTTTCACACACGTCCAACACGACAGATCGTCACGAGGGCGGCAGACACTCGAGTAAACATGCAGAGTGGATGGACACAAAATGCCCGAGCCCGGGGTCTCAACATTCCCGACAAAG